TATATAGTCAAACTTGAATATAATAAAATCTTCAGAATAATTAGTAAATATCAAAAAAAAAAAATATTTAAAAATTCAATATAAATAATTTTAAAAATTATATAATAAAATTCTCTTTTATAATAAATTTTTAATAAATTCAAAATTTAAAAATTTATTATAACTAGTATTTTATTATAGCTTTGTTATAAACAAGTTTGTTTTATTCAAGTTTAATTATAATTATCCTGTATTTACCTTTTAATAAAATAAACTATTTATAATTTTTTGAAAAAATTAAAAATTTAATAAAATAAAAAAACAAATTTATAGTTATTTTTTTTGAATAATAAGTAAAACAATAATATTATTAAGTATTAAAAAATTATATATAAAAAAAAATCTTTTCACTGATCCTTTTGCCAACCTAAAAAACAGATGTTCTCAAAAAACTTTTTGTCTTTATAATAATAAAGTCTATACCATTTCCTTAACAACACTGGTTCCTTAACTAGCAGAGTGAGCAGAAGTTACCACTTGTTTTATTTTTTTTTTTCAAAACACTCTTCTTGTTTATTTTGGTAACTAAATATAAGAAATCTATCTAAAAGATCTATGGTATACATGTGGTGTAAATTATTTGCTGTTGACTCAATTCACAAAATCCTCAAAAATAATTGCGTCATGATTCAATTATTTATATATTTAAATAGTGACTCAATTAATTGTATCAAATAATTGTATCAATTGCGTCAAGGATCTACAAATTTTAGCAACATGTATAGTCTATGGCAAGAACACCTTTCTAGAAAGAAAGCTGATAAAAAAAATACCCTCCAAAGATTTTTAAAAGATTCAAGAATTCAGAGAAAAAAAAGTAAAGAAGTCTCCAGTCTTTTTATAATCTTTTTGACTTTTCTCTTTTTTTTTCTCAAGCATGTTTTCTTTTTTCTGATTTTTTTGAGAATTTTTGTTTATCTCAGTTTAATCTTAAATTTTTGATTACACCAGATCTTTTGAAAGATAATTGATCAAGGCCATGGATTAGTTGATTGATCACATTAGTCTCAGAAAAAGTAAACAAGATATGTATTTCTCACATATTTTCAGTTATATAATACCAAACCGATGATGTAATTGATTTTTAAAAAAGTTGAATGGTTTTTGATTAAAGGAGTAGTATGGAAGTATTAAGTGAAGTAGAAGTTGTGAGTAGAAGAAAAACGACTTCTTTTTGTTTCCATTCTTTTATTTTCTTTTTTTCTTTTTTATTCTTTCTTGAGGATAGAAAGTAGCAACAAGATTTAGATCCTATCCCAATCTGGTAACAAGTTGAAGTACTGATATTTATCCTGAAAATGGTTAAAGAAAGGGATCTTAAAACTATTCACCAGTTGAGTGAAGCAATAATTCCAGAAGATATAACTTGGGAGAGCAATCAACAATAAAAAACCAATATTCTTTTTGATTAGAAGTCTTCAAGCATAAAGTTTCAAGAAATATTTTCCTGAAAGTGCCTTTAAATGTTCTTGGATATCAATTACTCCAATAAAAATTAAACAGTTTGTCTGGCCACAAATGGTGAGAAATAGGAAACCATGAGAGGTTTGGGTTTTAAGTTTACTAAAATAATCTTTTCAATGATAATTAGAATAGATGATAGCTTTTTTTCTTTTCTCTTTATCAAAAAATTCTTTTTTTATTTCTTTTTCCTCTTGCATAGTTTCTACAAAAGAGGAATGACACAATTTGAATTTATGGTCATAACTGTAGAGATGATCTGCAGGTTTTAATTCTATCAGAAGTTTGGGATCTTAATCTTATCCTTTAGGAGAACAATATATTATCTCTATAAATCGCATCTAGAGACTTTGGCTATCGATGAATAAGTTAGATTGAGAAAATTTGTACTTTGTATGTATTTTCGTACATGTAATGGTTCTTTATAATTTAATAAATAAACAATACCAACCTAATTGCGGAATTAAAAAAAAAACAAAAAAAAAACAATAATATTGTCAAGTATTTAAAATAGAATTACTTACAATTATATGTTTTAATATATTAGTTAACAATTTAAACCTTTAAAAAACAGGTCAAATAAATAAATTTATTTATTTTTAAAAAAAATTCAAATTTAAAATTTTTTTAATATACCTGTAATTTTTATTAAAAAAACTTTTTTAAAATTTAATAATAAAATTAAAATTTATTCTTATATAATTTGTTATTTTAATTAATAATTTTTAAATAGCTGTTTTCAATCAATTAAATTATTAAAAAATATTTTATTAAACTTAATTATATCTTAACAAAATACTTGAAATATAAGTTATTTATTAATATATCTAGAAATATTGCTATAAAAAATTTTTTTATTTGTTTTTACTTTTTACAAATTATTTGACAAATATGTATATTTACAAATATTTGGATTTTTAAATAATTCTTTTAAAACTATTTTATATTTGCAAGCCAAGTAGCAAGTTTTTTGTAAAACTTGGATTTTTTGAAAAAAAATTATTAAAAAATAATATATAAAAGATAAAGTTTTTTATCAAATTTAATTTTATAATTAGATTATATCTTTAATTATATAGATATATTCAATACTTACCATAAATTTATTGCATAAAATAATTAATTATATTAACTTTTATTAATAATTTAATTATTTATAATATATGGTTCAACATAATTAATTCAGTGCTTTTAAAGAAAAAAATGGTTGTTTAAGAGCTTTGCAATACGAGATAAATTTAAAAATAGATGATGCCGACCGTTGTTTAACACCTGGCTTGGTCATTGCAATTAATATAATGATGATTGAATCAATTGTTTTTTAGGCGGACGCATTCTTCGTGCAACCAAATCTTCAACCATTCAAATTCATTATCAAATTTTTAGCCGAATTTGGTAAATTGGAGAAAATTGTTAGACAATTGGCAATACACCATATCTCGATTCATGCATTCATCCATAATTTGGGGGAAAAAATAGCGTAATTAATCAGTATTTTAACCCTAAAAGGAATATTATAAAATATATGCTCATATGAATGAAAATGTATTATTGGTCATTGTCCGGTGGAGGGCAGGTCATTAGCCATCGCAAACATCCTACCATGTCTCTTCTCCTTTAGCCCTTTGAGACGAGCATTCCTAATGCATTACAGGTGCATTGCTTGAGTAATTAATTATGTCACGTGCGAATAAATGTACCAGTTCTAATTGTTGTTACATTACATTAGGCACCCTACGTACATTTTTTTACGCGCATTCATTCATTCTTACATTCATTTTTGTCCACTATAATAATGATAATAATAGATCCTGACCAAGTCTAGACAAAATGGGGATATTCTTATAATAGTAAGTCGATATGATACTGCAATGAAATCTTTCTTTACTCGATAAATTAGAAAGATGTTTGACATTGCATGTTAATTGTTTCCACCCAATCCAGTCTTCTGAACTTTGGTTTACTATTTATTATTGACTTTCGATCACAATTGTTACCACCATCGTCATCTTTATAATCGAACAAATGACATTAATGCCCACGTTTTCATAACAATAAAAGGAAGGGTAAATAAAATATTTTCATCGAGTATACAAAAAAAAAAAAAAAAAAAAAAAAATGAAAAAAAAAAAAAGTACGTACATATTTCTTTTTTTTTTTTTTTCTAGATGCACTTGGACCGATCATACCAGAATGGATGAATGAATGAATGAGCATACATATAAGCGACACGCATACACGTACACTCCACGTACGTACTACTAATATAACAATCTAGCAATTATTATGCAGTCATCAGCCCAAAATTAATACCATATTGTTCGGTGTTTGTTTTTACGCATATTTACTGAGTAGTAAGTAGTACGCATCCGAACGATTAGATGTTTGATATGACGATTGATTAAGTGACAAAAAATGTACGTACAATTGCGGGATGGTTTCTTCTTCGTAAGTCATATATATTGGAATAATAATAGCCCATTAAAAAAGCACAATGATAATATAATAATCGAGTGAACTCACAAATGAAAGCATAGTATTTTTAGTCAGTCGAACGAGAGGGAGATTATGTAAATACAGTAAGTGGTACGCAGTTCTATTCATACTGTGCAAGCACCGTCCGTACATCCTACTTGCCAGCCGCCATTATTCACATTTCTGATTAGGATCTAATCATCTCAACAAATTTTTTTTGTCTATGGTATTCAATGTAAACACAATGTATCTTTTTATATCAATGGCATGAAAATAATGTGTCAAAAAGTTATTTTTGATGTTTCTGCTTGGTGTGTATGTAGGTATGTGCCCTGTGCCTGTCCTTTACTTCCAAATTTCAGCCTGCAAACAATTTGTTTTATCCATTTTCATAATAGAAACAATAAAGTAGAATAATATATTAAGATTAGTGTGAATAAGCATTTGCATTAGGCTCTACTTTCTGATGATTAATTTAAAAAGATTTTAGAATCTACAATTTTTCACCATTTTTGTTTTTTTTTTTTTCTGCAACAATATATTTATATGCCACTCGGAATTTTACAAAATAATTTCTTTGCTTTCTATCATTTAACGAGTGCTTTAACGACCTTCTTCGTAACGACACCAATACTTTGCTGGCTCTATCAGCGCAAGTTCTGGGCCTTACTAAACCCAACTCCCTTTTATACGACCTTTCTCTCTCCTAAACGTCGTAAAGCTTTAAAGAAAAAAAAAATTTACACATTTAAAAACTTAAATTATATTACAGATTCTCACGATCAATCATTTTATTTTTAATCTACACCCCGGTCATTCCCAACGGTTTCACCCTTTAATGAAACCAATTGTTACGCAAAAAATTCACGAAATCATATATTAATTACCTCCTAAATTTATAAGGACTCGTTTTACTTTTTTCTTTAAGAAGAGTTACTGTTTCTCCGGATATAGGGATTTTCCTCTATCGTGCTCACAAAGCCGTCGACTATTTCTGTATTCGTTCTCTTCGATCGAAATATACAATGCCTCACGCAACTGAGTCATTGAACTTAACTAACGCACCCTCTGCATCTTCGCCCATTCCAATTCCGGGCTCGACAAGCTCGTACATTCGTACCTCCATTCCCTCGTACGATCAAACTACAACAGCTTCCGCAAAGTAAGTCTCGATTATTTTAATACTATTTTATTTCTGTCGCCTATTTAATCCTTGCTCCGTTAATCTCGGTCACTAAACATTTGATTGCATCGGTTTACATCGATTTTTGGCGTCATACTATGTTTCTCATCAAGATATACCCTTAGATCTTGATTTATTGCACCTTAATACATATAGTTTACTATTTATTCTTTTGATCATACTCTTCACTCGATTTCTTAGCTAATCTATCTTTGTAGCCCACAAGATCTTACTTATTCACGCTCAAACTTTCCCTAATGATCTTGTTTTTTATTGTTTTTTTTTTTTTTTTTAAAAAAAAAAAGATATTATTTCACTCTTTCTTTTCAATGTTCATACTTAACAAGTTTATTCCAAGTATATACACTAATCAACTAACCAACCAACCAACTCTCTCTATTTAATTTCCTAGCAATATGTCTGATTATGTTGCGCCGGATGACGGTGCCAGCTACGATCAATTTATTTGTGCAAACTTCTCTACGGAAGACACCTCCGCCGTCCCTATTCAATCTGAGGGAAGAAATGTGACCTATTATTGTTATGATTACGGATGCTGTGATGAAGAAATCAATAATCTGCACGATTTTCTCCAGCATGTTGACACTCGACATCCAGGGCTTTATGTCAACTCAACTTATGGAATCATGTCTCTTGATGCCAACGCCATTTACTCTCAGTGTAAGTCACATGATATAAAGTCATTTTTTTGATGCTCCGTCGATCATTTAATAAAATAATTTTTGACTACAGCTCGTTTGCCGGCTATTCCGGTTTATTCGATGATTCCTGCGGTGAACTCGCACGACTTAAAGATCACAGAAGACAATAGGGTTAATAACAATAATAACAATAGCAACAATAATAATAATAATAATAGTAATAATAATAATAATCACGTTTTGGCCGCTTCCAAACAGAAGCTTAACGTTGAAGATGAATCTTATGACAAAGATCTATTTTTGGCTCGTCATCTTTCGTATTCATTACGAGATCCTAACGTGACTGCTACCACGTTTCTCAGTGGTCAAATTTCGGGTCCTTCTTCCATTTCCGCAAGTTTCGAGGATGATGATCTTTCGGCATTGGACACTCTAAACAATAGTCCTTTCCACACTGATCATGATCCTTCGTTATCTGTGATGCCATCCCCACCTTTATCCCTTTCGTCTTGTCCGACAACACCCGTTTTCCTGCAATCTACCGTTTCTTCACCTTTGGGTTTGGAAAGTGTCGGTATTCCAGCAGCTTACATTCCGATTTTATCACCAGAAAATTCGACTGCTTCAACTTTAGGTCAAGTGGCATCATCTTCACATGTTGATCATGGTACCAATGCAAATGATCAACGAAGAATGTCAACCCCGGTTACGTCCATGGATCCGTCTGATAGTTCCAATGTGCCGTTAAATCGTCAACCATCCTACGGCTCATACATATCCACATCTAGCGTCTCGGCATCCGCTGTAGAAAATAATAATCAAAATCGACGCGCACCTTTGAAGTCGATTAAAAAGCAGCCAACGACTTATGGATCATTGACGATACCAAATTCCTCTCCCTCAGCCACTGAACATGATGGGCGACGTGATTCCTCTTCCTCCTCACCACCAAGAACGGTCGACCCAAATTCGTTGATTAATCGCCAGAAGTCACCCTATTTTAATTCAACCGCCGCGGAAAATCCAACTGCATTTATCCCTGCGACCACTTCTAACTACTTGCAAGCAGGTCCTATCAAAATGGAAAAACAAACGTCGCCCACTTCAATATTGCCGTCTAACACCACCTCTGGGGCTTTTATAGCAACTCCCAAGATTTCTTCTGATCAATCACGTAGTCAACACGTGTTAAGCACTGTCTCTTTGAGGCCATATACAAAAACGACTTCTTCAATCGATAATGCCACATTGGCCCCAACATTCATCCCGCCAGTCTCCAACACATCATACTCCATGAATTCAGTCGACGGTTGTTTTTCCATTTTGATAGGACCTGCTTGCAAGTAGTTAGAAGTGGTCGCAGGGATAAATGCAGTTGG